TAAGATGGTATAGTTGCGTCATATTATGAAGATATATATTTAATTAATTATTCTTGTCCGTCTAATCACAATTTAAAATTTAAAATTAAGATAATTAAGATAATTAAAATATCATGTGATGTTCCTTATCGAAACATTCGATTTACATTTAGATGTTCTAAATCACAATTTAAAATTAAAACACAGCGCAACAACCCAGAAGATACGATCTGGACATTCTTCATAAGTTTTCGAATTATTTTTGGCGTGAGATCGAAAATTTCGAAACATACAGTTAAATACACTATTTAAATGAGTATTTGTGGCAAAAAACAGCATATACAGCGTGTTTCAAAAGTAGCTTTACAACTTTAGGGCGAGATATTGGTGAACTGATAGGAGAAACATATAATTTCAGAACACAGAAATGTAGTCAAACACTTCAAGTTTTATGTCCATCGCATTTTTATGGTTCAATGTGACTTCCATTTGTTATGTAGTCAATTTCTTGCCACACGCGGTGTAGCATCTCCGGTGTCACTTCAGCAACTGCGGCGGTAATTCAAGTTCGGAGTTCGGCCACATTTGCAGGTAAGTGGCACGTACACTCGATCTTTAACAAATCCCCACAAGAAGAAATCTGAACGTGTTAGATCCGGGGAACGACGTGGCCGTGCTATTGGTGCGGTCCGACCAATCCACCAACCAGGGAAATGGTCGTTGAGGTACTCGCGTACTTCTCCGTGAAAAAGAAGAGGCCGTACACTTTATCTTTACTGAGGGCACAAAACACATTAACATTTGGAGAACACTGCATCAGATAATCCAAAAGTAATGATTGTTTCAACCAAGAATTGTATTTATTTACGCATGTACGTTGCTTGTTTCTCGTTTAGAACAGTCAGGCGCGTCGACGTTTCGGATACTCTCCATACTCATAATTAGGAATTGGTGTGGTTATTAATACAAATTGTTAAGTGTGTGTCTGTGTGCATGCTTCATTTTTTTTTTTAAAAATAATACGAAATAGAATCAAACGCTTCGTGATCCTTTTTACTTGTGTGGTATCAGTAGCTTTCGTGCTTGGCCGCCGAGGCGCTGTAACTAACAAAACAGTTGATTGCTGTGAAAACCGCGAGGATAGAAGGTCGATTGAGGTACGTGTAGACACGTAGATAAAATTCCTCTGCTCGGGCGATATCCGAATTAAATGTATCTCATGATTTTCCTCAGTTCCACAGCCAAGTACCGGGATAGTGGACTTCATTACATTAGGCAACCAATGCTTTCGCATATTTATTTATTCTTATCTTGTCATTTGACAATTCTTTTGTGTTATTTAAGGATATATAAGTAAAGAAGAGATAGAACACTTCATTAAGTTGCATTCCATTTAATTAATTATTCTTGTCCGTCTAATCCCAATTTAAAATTTAAAATTAAGATAATTAAGATAATTAAAATATCATGTGATGTTCCTTATCGAAACATTCGATTTACATTTAGAACATCTAAATGTAAATCGAATGTTTCGATAAGGAACATCACATGATATTTTAATTATCTTAATTATCTTAATTTTAAATTTTAAATTGGGATTAGACGGACAAGAATAATTAATTAAATGGAATGCAACTTAATGAAGTGTTCTATCTCTTCTTTACTTATATATCCTTAAATAACACAAAAGAATTGTCAAATGACAAGATAAGAATAAATAAATATGCGAAAGCATTGGTTGCCTAATGTAATGAAGTCCACTATCCCGGTACTTGGCTGTGGAACTGAGGAAAATCATGAGATACATTTAATTCGGATATCGCCCGAGCAGAGGAATTTTATCTACGTGTCTACACGTACCTCAATCGACCTTCTATCCTCGCGGTTTTCACAGCAATCAACTGTTTTGTTAGTTACAGCGCCTCGGCGGCCAAGCACGAAAGCTACTGATACCACACAAGTAAAAAGGATCACGAAGCGTTTGATTCTATTTCGTATTATTTTTAAAAAAAAAAATGAAGCATGCACACAGACACACACTTAACAATTTGTATTAATAACCACACCAATTCCTAATTATGAGTATGGAGAGTATCCGAAACGTCGACGCGCCTGACTGTTCTAAACGAGAAACAAGCAACGTACATGCGTAAATAAATACAATTCTTGGTTGAAACAATCATTACTTTTGGATTATCTGATGCAGTGTTCCAATTTAAATCTACGCGTAGAGTTTATAAATGGCTACTTCATCTCTACATTAAGCCATATTTAGCAAATCGAGCGAATTTCTACAGCAAATCTGCCAGTGAGATAAACCCTCTGGTGGCAACCTCTGGAAACTGAAGCCGGACAGAGAGACGAATCCGAGTAGCATATAAGCAATACCAGAGTTCGTTTTCTCTCGCCGGATTCACTTATACGACAATACAGCATTCCAAATAGTAAGGAAGAGAGAAGACAAGAAAATCAGGTGGTTGCAGGCGCCATGGTCAGCCAATGACGTCATCACGCAGGTGCAGCACAGCAGTCATCCACTGTTGCGGCTGAGACAGAGGCAAGCAATACAAATGTGCACGGAATATGGAGAGAGAGAGAGATATAGAGAGAAGATAGTCACATGTAATAAAGACAAGAAGGAAAACAAACACTTCATTCACAGCAAGCCAGTTTCAAGGAAAGGTTTGGGCCAAACCACACACACACACATGCCGCCAGCAAACGGTTCGAAATCAGCACAAAATGGTTTGTTCGTTACCACAAACAAACGACTTTGCATCACTCGCTGGGAAGGCGCTTGAGCTCGTGCGCATGCGCTATTTTAGTACGGCAGCGGACTGACTGTTTATTGAGTTATTTAACAATTTTTTTAATTGCATGGATAAAACAGCGCCGAATGGCAGGAAGATTATGAACTCGAAGGATACTGAAGGAGGCGGTCGTGGCTTATTTCAGTGCACCATCGAAGTTTTGGTCGAACCAAGTGAAGGAAACCACCGAAGAACCTTACAATATCCGGTCTGAGAGTCGAGATTCCAACTCGGTACCTCCAGAATACGAAGCAAGTCTACCAAATTTCACATCAATGACTGTCAAAATGCATTTTGCATCTACTGGATATTATAATTAGTCTGATTACGTTTCTTTATTATTATTATTAGTGTTCTGTCTGACGACAGGTCCATATGAACAGGATCCTTCCATCCTTTTCTCGGACTGGGACCTGTTCATACACGTTCTTGGCAGATGATTCAGAAGTGGTTTGCCATTGCCTTCTTCTGTGTGTGAATGGGATGCCACGGAGAAACCGGGGAAGCCCCCGGAGGAAAA